AGCCATCGCTCTTCCTCATGAATTTTTATTAGTTCTACACTTCATTGAGGGTGTTTTTTGGCTCATCAGCTTTTTGGCGCTGGTGTATTTTTACAGTATGGTTTATAGCAAAGCACGAAAACAGAGCCAAAGCCAAATCAGCCAAATAACTGCAAAGATCCAAAGCAGAATTGCGTTTACGGCGTGTCTGTTAACCGCTGCCGTTTTCCTTTGTAGCCTTCCTATGGCCTTTTTTGTCGGTACAGTGCAATTTTTGCCCATTCTTCGCGCAAGTTCAGTTTTCCGATGGTCAGAAGTTCCCCTTTACTTAAACTCTCTTTTAAATCCTGTGCTCTATTTTTATAGAAACAGGCGATACAGGAAAGCTGCACTAAAATTGCTAAGATTCCGAATGCCTTTGAAAAATCGGTCAGTGGGTCTTTCTACAAGATGGCGTCGAGATTCTTTTGTGCTTGTAGATGAAAAATACTTTGGTGACACTGAAAGAACTCAATGTCTCTCACGATCACAGTCTTGGGCAGTAGATACACATGGACGTTTGGATATCATGCCCGGAATGCAAAATAAGTCAGCAATGAAGCGAAGATTTTCATATCCACCCTTACTAAGCTATGGAAACTTGCGTGAGGTGATTCAACCTGTTACACGCACTATCACGGTGCAGATTGAACTTACACCCGGAGGCAAACTGGCGCGGTTTTAGAATTCCCACAACTGCAGGGTAGCGAGAGAAAAGTCTTTCGAAGAAAACACGTTTCTTTTATCCAAAAGCGCTTGTCAGAAATTAGCTGAAGTTAAGTCTCAGAGATGCAGTCCAGTTGTATGACTTCTAACGATTAAGAGTGCTTCCAGAAAAAAACTATCCAATAAAATTTTAAATAGATGCCTTAACACTTCTTGTCGTACAATCTGTATAAATTTAATCACAACACAGGCTCGTCTTAGAAAACTTATTTAGTCCCTAACTTTAACTCTCATTTGAAAATTTCTCTAAAAGCTGCGGGCAGTGAACCTGAAAAACTAAGAGAAGCAATCAAGATAAACTCTGGAAACAAGTCATCTAGTGTTAAATAACAATTCAAACTATAACTTTCTCTAGGTAATTTTTTTCAAGTACATCAGTTGGAATTTTCATCCAAAAGTTTGTATTTTGAAGTAAAAATGATGGGATACTAGGTATGTGCGTCTTTGCTCTTGATAATTTTTCTTTACACTTGATTTTTATGTAGCGAAAACATGAAACCTCTTCAAAGTAGGCAAATCTTTGTACTGTAGGAGATGAATGAAAATGACACTTCTCCAAATTTCAGACTTATACATTTTGCAAACTACACAATATTCATAGGAAACTTACGCTAGCGTCTGGAAATCACTGATTATCAAGATGTAGGGAACCTGTAGGATTTTGCCTTAAGATCGATCTCAATTTCCGGCCCGTTTTTTGCCCAAACGACCAAATCACGGCTGCTTTTCATTCTGGAGAATCTACGCATTTACAGCGATTTCATTACTATTTCGCAACAAAACTAACATCAAAATGATTTTTCAAAATTGAGAGGCGAAATTCAGAGATTTGTAAAAAAAGAAATTCATTCCTTTTTTGGTGGTTGTAAGTTTGTGATCGCTTTGTCTTGCATACATGTCATGAAACGTTTAGTTGTCATGTGAAACTGAGCAGCGTACGATTTGCTTGTGAGCCTAAACTGGGATACTTATTTTTATGTATTAACAGCGCTATCGAGTAGAACTTGATACTCTACTAGTCTGGCGTCAGCTCAGAAAAAAGAGCAGTATGCTCTCTTGCTTGGAGATAATGTCGCCTCAATTTATAGACTACTCTGGATAAGACGAACATAAGAATCGACCGAATCGAATTCACGAAAAAGCCAAATATCCCATGCAGAAACACAACTGTGTATTTTCACTGATTACGCGAACTTTTGATCAAGTACCAGAAGTATTCTCTAAGTAAAGTAAAACAGACTTCTCAAAAGAAGATCGATCGCTTTCGTGAAGTCCTCCAGTAGTTTATCTTTACATCTGTGTCCATCTTGCCATCGCTAATTGATCTGAAATCTGCTAACCCACTGATTGCAAGTGATTTCCTCCTCTCAGCTTTAACAGATGTCCAGTACGTCAAGTTTCTTAGATTCGAATTTTATACAAAATTGAAGATTTTGTGTGAGTGAAACTGATTATTTCGTGAAATCGCGACGGACGGCGGCGACTACTTGCTTTTTATTTTGTGATGTCATGCTACAGATTGAAATTGCACCCAGAAAGAAACTGCTTAGGAGAAAGACAAAGATAATAGAATTGAACGAGATCAAACTTTTGATATAAAACCAGCAGTTGGTACGTTTATACACCTTGAAAGATGGCAGCGCGATTTCTGTGCGTCTGTAGATGCTAATGAGTGTGTCGATACCGTAAGAGTTCAATGCCTCATACGGTCATAGTCCTGGGCAGCGGACACACACATGGTCGGTGGAACACTGATCATGCCTGGAGAGCCAGTTGTCGCAATCATGGACAGAATAATGTCATGTCCACTCTTGACAAGGCATGAAAACCATCTTGAAGTGTTTCAACCTTTCACTTGATCTGTAATACTACAGATTGAAATTGCACTTAGATAGAAACTGCTTAGGAGAGAGACAAAGATATTAGAATTGAACGAGATCAAACTTTTAATATAAAACCATGTATCCTCTGCATAAAATCACTCGTTTCACACTAGAAAAAGTTAAGGTTCTGGCTTTTTACTTTGTTAATAGAATAAACTTTTCAAAGTTAACATAGAGCTTTAGATCCAAGATTAGTTACAGTACATCCAACGTCCAATCAGTGCATAGAGAGTTATCAGACGTAACCAATGAGAGCTCAAAGTCAAATAAAGCGCGGGAAAATGCGAGTGACCAGGCGGTGATTAGATTCAGTTTCATTTTTGATTAGTTGGAAGGGGGTCGTGAGTTTCATGTGATTCTCATTTCTTATGAGGCGGGAGAAGTGAACAAAACAATTCACTCAAGCGTAGCTAATCTGTGAAACAGCTTTTTTTTTCATTTAAAAATAATCAACTGTCCAAATCCCGAACTCGATTCACGAGGAATTTTCACTCTTATTTAGTGCAGTAAGAATAAAATGATAACGTTTATATTTTAAACTCTCTCCCGCGTTAAGACAAAATCCTGCGAGTTAAATCTATCAGCTTGAAAGTGTAATCTTTATTTCAAACCAAATTCTCCGACATAATTTATAGAGATATTTGTAGCAGGTGGATAGGAAAATTGATAATCAGTGCGTAGCAGTCGGCGGGCTGAACAAATATACTCTACATAATTAGACTTTGAGCCAAATTCTAACTACTTTGAACTTGAAGCTTAAATCAAAGTCTTTGTTAAGTAACGTTCTTTGATCTTAAAACAACCTACTAAAACAACCTTCACTAGATACCAGTACTCTCACTCTCCAGGCAAATGTCAAAGCACCTTTAGTGGTGGACTTAAATTACAACAGAGCAAATATATCAAGCCTGGCGAAGGTGAAGGGGACGCTTAAGCTAAAATGAAATTTTGAGCCTAAGACGAAAAACATCGAAATCCTTATGGCTTTTATGCTTCGTAGAGCTTCGAGCATTTACTAAAGAAAAAAAGAACAGCTACATTGCTGACCTAATTCATGAAAAACTAGTCTGTAGAATAACGGACACAAATTTCACTTCTTATGTCAAATAGGGGAGCTGGAAAATGAAATACTTCCTCTTTCGTGAAACACATTACTCTAGGAGACAAGTTTAAAAAATATACCCTGAAAACACGAACGGAAGGTTAATGATGAAATTATTTCATGCAAGGAGACCCGATTTGAATCAAACCTTCATCTCTGTTTCTGTTTTAATCCGTATCAGCTTCAGTTATCTCCTCAATCTTGCTATTTGCATTACCTTTGTTTTGCGGGGAAAATGTCATTTCAGTCTCGTTCTTTCAGCTTTATTAATCATAAAATCAAATTTAAAACACAATGGTATGTTTCTATATCCAGAAATTTCAGATGTTCATCCTTGATGGTTTTTAAAAGCTAGGGCTCTTCCTCATTAACTTTCATAACGATTCGATTCATTTGTACGAGGGCATTTCAAAGGAGTTTTGCGGTAAGTTTAATACCACATTTTCTTCACTATTTTACAAAGAGATTTAAAGTAGCTGAAGTGGAGAATGAAAGGATTTGCAAATGCTGACTGAAATATAATTACAAGAGATATGAGAGATTTGTGAGTGTCAACTGAGTGTTTTTACAGTTTTCTACGTCATCACCCACTAATTCGTTACCATTCTACGGGAAACTTTTAAGACAAAGTAAGGTCACTCTATGCACCAGAAAACTGAGTTTCAAATGTTTCGAAATTTTTTCTTCTATCGGAATGGGTTTCTACATATAATAAGCTATATATTTACGCAAAAGAAAATTTCGTGTTGTAGGCACTTTAAACTGCAGGTCGTGCGAATGTCGAGCAATAACTAGATTTGTTTGAAAACATCATCGAAAAAGACGAGGAAACTGAGGGCTATTAACCGTCTGGTTCTGAGTTTGTGTTATCTTTCCTTCATTAGCTGCGAGCTCTTGACGTCTCAACTTTGCAAACCTATTTGATAATGGCTATTTAGGGACACATTTAGTTACCTGAATAAAACAAAAACGAAATTCGCTCAAAAGTAAAATTTCTGAGTTCCCATGAGGACTCAGAATCCTCATGAAAACTCAGAATTTTTTCTTTGTCCCTTCTTTCAACATTTCTTTAATTGAACACTTATTAAAATCGCGTCAAGACCTTTTATTATCGTCCGGAAAGTTGTTATCGTAATCGCAAATCAATCTCTTCAAGAGGTTGTTCAAGATGAGAAGCACTTACAATATAGTATCCCAGAATATCTTATAAGGAACGTGCTATTTGGTTTGCGCTGAAAGAGCCATCGCCTTTGCAGGTCACAGTTGTCAACATGAGTGTGAGTAACAGTGGGGACTCGTTTGTTACCTCCTCCAAAGCAGTGTTCTTTTGTCCAAATGATCCGCTGTTTGTTTGGGACTTGGAAAACAAAGTATCCCTTCAGCTGATAATCGCCATCACTGCAATCGCTGCTCCTTTTACCACTTTTTTGAACACATTAGTCATCGTCACCATCCAGAAAACAAGACAGTTACAGACGAACTCCAGCATTCTGATCTCTAGTTTGGCCATTACTGATCTGTTGGTGGGTGCAGTTTCATCGCCTCTGATCATCACAGTAGATGCATTAATTCTTCGAGGAACTGTACCAGAAAGCATTGTATGCAAAATAAATCACAGTGCAGCATTTGTGCAGTACATTGCTTACAGTGCTTCATATATGCATTTAATTCTAATGGGTTGGGAGAGGTATGTTGCGATTGCAAAACCTATGAAGTACAAAGTTTTGGTGAGAAAAGGAAGGATGAAGAGGTATTCAGGAATAGTCTGGATGACAGTTATCATAGGCTACGTGTTGGTGATGACATTACAAGCCATCGCTCTTCCTCATGAATTCGTATTAGTTCTTCACTTTATTGAAGGTGTTGTTTGGCTCGTCGGCTTTATGACGCTGGTGTATTTTTACAGTATGGTTTATAGCAAAGCACGAAAACAGAGCCGAAGCCAAATCAGCCAAATCAGCCAAATATCTGCCAAGATCCAAAGCAGAATTGCGTTTACAGCGTTTCTGTTAACCGCTGCCGTTTTCATTTTTAGCCTTCCTATCCCCGTTGTTGTCGCTACAGTGCAATTTTGGCCCATTCTTCGCGCTAATTCAGTTTTCCGATGGTCAGAAGTTTCCAATTTCTTAAACTCTCTTTTAAATCCTGTGCTCTATTTTTATAGAAACAGGCGATACAGAAAAGCTGCACTTAAACTGCTAAGATTCCGAATGCCTTTGCAAAATCAGTCAGTGAGTCCTTGTACAAGATGGTGTCGAGATTCCTTTGTGCCTGTAGATGAAAAATACGTTTGTGACACTGAAAGAACTCAATGTCTCTCACGCTCACAGTCTTGGGCAGCGGATACACATGGACGCTTGAGTATCATGCCCGGAATGCAGAATAATTCAGCAATGGAGCGAAGATTTTCATGTCCACCCTTACTAAGCTATGAAAACTTGCGTGAAGTAATTCAACCTGTTACACAAACTATCACAGTACAAATTGAACTTACACCCAGAAACAAACTGGCGAGGAGTGATGGAAAATAAGATTAGAACTCCTACAGCTGCACCGTAGCGAGAGAGAAGTCTTTCCAAGAAAACACCTTTCTTTTCCCACAAGCCCTCGGTAGAAATAAGCTAAAGTTAAGTCTCAGAGTTGCAATCCAGCCATATGAGTTCTAACGATTAAGGATGCTTCCAGAAAAAAGAAGTATCCAATAAAAATGTTAAAGGATGTCTTAAGACTTACTGTCATACAATCGGTATAAATTTAATCTCAACGGCTCGTGGTAACAGCAAGAAAAAGCACCGAGAGGCGGTGACACATTAAAAGAAACAAGGAAAGTGATGAGTTTTCTAGAGAAAAAATAACACAGCGAAAGGATAAAAAACTTATTTAGTCCCTAATATTAACTACCATTTGAAAATTGCTCTAAAAAATGCGGGCAATGAACCTGGAAAACTAAGAGTAGCATTCAAAATAAACTCTGGAAACAAGTCATCTTTTTATAAAATAATTCAAATAGTACGCGCGCTCTGATTGGCCATAAAACCATTTTACATGAGCGTATGTAAACACGGTTTTCGTTCCTCTTTCATTAGTTATTTTATAACTAATGAAAGTGTTCTCCCACTTGGGAGGTTGGGAGAACACTCGATAAGCTGGAAACCACTCCGCTTCGCGCCGTGGTTTCCTACGCTTATCTCGTGTTCTCCCAACCTCCCGCGTGTTTACATCAGGCTATGTAAACACGGAAACCATTTTACATTTCTTCATCAAAGTATAACTTTCTCTGAGTTGTTTTTTTCAAGTTCATCAGTTGGAATTTTCATCCATAAATTTTTATTTTGAAGTAAAAGCGATGGGACCTTCATAATTTTTCTTTATACATGATTTTCATGTGGCGAAATCATGAAACCTCTTCAAAGTACGCAAATGTTAGCACTGTAGGAAATAAATAAAAATGACGCTTTCCCAAATTTCAGGCCTATGCATTTTGCAAACTACACAGTATTAGTATGAAATTTACGCTGGTATCTGAAAATCACTGAGTATCAAGATGTAGGGAACCTATAAGATTTTCCCCTAAGATCGATCTCAATTTCCGGACCATTTTTTACCCAAACGTCCAAATAATGGCTGCTTTTCATTCTGAAGAATCTACGAATTTACAGCGTTTTCACTAATAATTCAAAGGAAAACTAACATCAAAATGAATTTTCAAAATTGAGAGGCGAAACTCAGAGATTTACAAAAAGATTCAGTCTCTTTTTGCTGGTTGTAAGTTTGTGATCGCTTTGTCTTGCATACATGTCATGAAACGTTTAGTTGTCATGTGAAACTGAGCAGCGCACGATTTGTTTGTGAGCCTAAACTGGGATACTTCTTTTCATGTATTAACGTCACTGTTAAGTAGAATTTAATACTCTGTTAGTTTGGCGTCAGTTCAGAAAAAGAGCTATGCTCTCTTTCTTGGAGACAATGTCGCCTCCATTCATAGATCACTCTGATAAGAGTAACCTAAGGATCGACGGAATCGAATTCACGAAAAAGCCAAATATCCCACGCAGAAACAGAACTGTGTGCATTTTTCACTGCTTACGCGAATTTTTGATCAAGTACCTGAAGTATTCTCTGAATAAAGTAAAACAGACTTCTCAAAAGAAGATCGATCGCTTTCGTGAAGTCCTCCAGATTTGTATTGTAAATAGTTTATCTTTACATCTGTGTCCATCTTGCTATCGCTAATTGATCTGAAATCTGCTAACCCACTGATTGCAAGTGATTTCCTCTTCTCAGCCTTAACAGATGTCTAGTACGTCAAGTTTCTTAGATTTGAGTTTTATCAAAATTAAAGATATACTTGTGGTTCTCCTAATTATTTCCTTAAATCGCGACAGACGGCGACGAGTGTTTGCTTTTCATTTTTAGTATTAAGAACCTTTTAACTGTCAGCAATAACTAACTAAACTAAACATTGTAGGAGTTACCATAGATATATTTCCGAACTGACAAGCTTAAATCCCAGCAAAATTTATCACACTAGAAAAAGTTAAGTTTCTTGCGTTTGACTGTGTAAATAGGAATAAACTTTTTTAACGATAACATAGAGTTGAGATCCAAGACTAGTTATAGTATAAGCAACAGCCAATCAGTGCACAGAGAGTTATCACACGTGATCAATGAGAGCTCATAGTCAAATGAAGCGCGGGAAAATGAGAGTGACCAAGCGGTGATTAGTTTCAGTTTCATTTTTGATTAGTTGAAGGGAGGTCGTAAGAACACGCATTTCTTTTAAGGCGGGAGAAGTGAACAAGGCAATTCACTCAAGCTTAGCTAATCTGTCAAACATTTTTTTTTTTAATTTAAAAATAATCATCTGTCAGATCCCGTACTCGATTCACAAGGAATTTTCACTCTACTTACTGCAGTTAGAATAAAATGATATTGTTTATATTTTAAACTCTCAGTCTCGTGTTAAGACAAAATCCTGAGAGTTAAATCTATCAGCTTGGAAGTGTAATCTTTATATGTAAAACCAAATTCTCCGACATAGTTTATAGAGATATTTGTAGCAAGTGGAAGGGAAAATTGATAAAGAGTGCTTAGCAGTCAGCGGGCTGTACAAACATACCCTACATAATTAGACTCTGAGCCAAATTCGAACTACTTTGAACTTGAAGCTTAAATCAAAGTCTTTGTTAAGTAACGTTCTTTGAACTTATCTGGGCACCTTACGACAACCTTCACTAGATATCGGTTCTCTCACTCTACAGGCAAACGACAAAGCACCTCGGTGGTGGACTTAAATTACAACAGAGCAAATAAATCAAGCCTGGCGAAAGCTAGAAAGAAGTTTTGGAGCTAAAACGAAAAAGGCCCAAATTCTTACGCTTTTATACTCCGTAAAGCTTCGAGTATTTATCAACATTCCTATAACACCCTCTCTTCTTTACAGCTTCTCTTTCTACCTACCTACCTCGCAACTTCTATTTCTTCTTTACAACTTGAGTACGATCTTTCACAACTCTCGGTAGAGGTTGACGAAAGTGGGTACGTATCGCTATCATATATTACTTCAAGACTATCTCAACGCTGACTGATACAAAATTACAAGAGATATGAGAGATTTGTAAGTTGTCAACTGAGAGTTTCCACAGTTTTCTACGTCATCACCCGCTAACTCGTTATCAGTCTAGAGGACACTTTTAAGACAAAATAACGTCACTCTAGGCCCCAAAAAACGGAGTTTCAAATGTTTTGAAAATTTTTCTTCTATCGGAATTAATTTCTACATATGATAAGCTATGTATTTAAGCAAAAAAAATTTTTCGTGTTGTAGGCACTTTAAATTTTAGGTCGTGCGAATGTCGAGCACTAACTAGATTTGTTTGAAAACATCATCGGAAAAGACGAGATAACTAAAGGCTATTAACCGTCTGGTTCTGAGTTTCTGTTATCTTCCCTTCATTAGCTGCGAGCTCTTGACGTCTCAATTTGCAAACCAATTTGATAATGGCTATTTAGCGACACATTAAGCTGTCTGAATAAAACAAAAACGAAATTCGCCGAAAAAAGTAAATAGTTTACTAATTGATTTGATTAAGTGGAATATTCGTCGAAAATCAGCTTTTCAGATTTCTGTTTCAGATATATCATTGCCAAAATCGAGGCCTTTTTTTCATCAATAATAGAAATTTTAGCGTTAATAATTTACAAACTGCATTTTGACTCGGATTTTTTTAATTTAAATCTCATAGAAAATTAAAAGCTTTCGAAAGAGATCAATGAAACTGTGTACAACCTAACTCAATATTTCAAAATTCAATCGCTTTTTCACAGCAACAAAACAACATTTCTTTGTAAATAAAACACGAAAGATGGTAAGTTTAGAGCTCGCTAAAGAAATAATGAGAGAAAATTTTTTCGTCTCTTCACGAGCGTGGAACAAGAAAAATTTCTGAGTCCCCATCAGGATTCAGAATCCTTATGGGAACTCAGAATATTTTCTTTGTCCAACGCTCGCCACGAGACGAAAAACTATCTTTTAACATTTCTTTGATGGAACACTTATTAAAACGCGTCACGACCTTTCATTATCGTTCGGAAAGTTGTTATCGTAATCGCAAATCAATCTCCTCAAGAATTTATTCAAGATGAGAAGCACTTAAAACTTAGTTTCCTAGAATATCTTATAAGGAACGTGCTATTTGGTTTGCGCTGAAAGAGCCATCGCCTTTGCAGGTCACAGTTGTCAACATGAGTGTGAGTAACAGTGGGGACTCCAAAGCAGTGTTCTTTTGTCCAAGGGATCCACTATTTATTTGGGACTTGGAGAACAAAGTATCCCTTCAGCTGGCAATCGCCATCACTGCAATCGCTGCTCCTTTTACCACTTTTTTGAACACATTAGTCATCGTCACCATCCAGAAAACAAGAGAGTTACAGACAAACTCCAACATTCTGATCTCTAGTTTGGCCATTACTGATCTATTGGTGGGTGCAGTTTCAACGCCTCTGATCATCACAGTAGATGCATTAATTCTTCGAGGAACTGTACCAGAGAGTATTGTATGCAAAATAAATCACAGTGCAGCATTTGTGCAGTACATTGCTTACAGTGCTTCATATATGCATTTAATTCTAATGGGTTGGGAGAGGTATATTGCGATTGCAAAACCTATGAAGTACAAAGTTTTGGTGAGAAAAGGAAGGATGCAGAGGTATTCAGGAATAGTCTGGATTACAGTTATTATAGGCTACGTGTTGGTGATGACATTACAAGCCTTCGCTCTTCCTCGTGAATTGTTATTCGCTCTATACTTTATTGAAGGTGTTGTTTGGCTCATCGGCTTTATGGCGTTGGTGTATTTTTACAGTATGGTTTATAGCAAAGCACGAAAACAGAGCCGAAGCCAAATCAGCCAAATAACTGCCAAGATCCAAAGCAGAATTGCGTTTACAGCGTTTCTGTTAACCGCTGCCGTTTTCATTTTTAGCCTTCCTATCCCCGTTGTTGTCGCTACCGTGCAATTATGGCCCATTC